TACTTATACTGCTCTACTTGCTTTACTAAATTACTGCTCTACCTGCTTTAGTACCTGTCCTGCTCTACCTGCTTTACTACCTGTCCTGCCCTACCTACTTTACTACCTGTACTGCTCTACCTGCTTTACTACCTGTCCTGCTCTACCTACTTTACTACCTGTACTGCTCTACCTGCTTTACTACTTGTACTGCTCTACCTGCTTTACTACATGTTCTGCTCTGCCTGCTCTACTATCTGTACTGCTCTACTTGCTTTACTACCTGTACTGCTCTACCTGCTTTACTACCTGGACTGCTCTACCTGCTTTACTACCTGTACTGCTCTACCTGCTTTATATCATATAACCTGCTTTTATAACATGTTCAGTTAAAATCACACTCAAAACCAGCACTGATCTGCTTACATCTAAACTTTCTGAAAGTAATAATGACATTTGGTCTAGATGAAACTTTTTTTGGTCCAGAAGAGACTGTTTGGGTCCAGATGAGACTGTTTGAATCCAGATGAAACTATTTGGTCCAGATGAAACTTTTTGGGTCCAGCTGAAACTGTTTGGGTCCAGATGAGACAGTTTGAGTCCAGATGAGACAGTTTGAGTCCAAATGAGACTGTTTGGTCCAGATGAGACTGTTTGGTCCAGATGAAACTGTTTGGTCCAGATGAAACTGTTTGGTCCAGATGAGACTGATTGATCCAGATGAAACTATTTGTTCCAGATGAAACGTTTTGGGTCCAGCTGAAACTGTTTGGGTCCAGAACAGACTGTTTGGGTCCAGATGAGACAGTTTGAGTCCAGATGAGAATGTTTAGTCCAGGTGAAACTATTTGGTCCAGATTAAACTGTTTGGTCCAGATGAGACTGTTTGGGTCCAGATGAAACTGTTTGGTCCAGATGAGACTGTTTGGTCCAGTTGAAACTGTTTCATCCAGAAGAGACTGGTCCAGATGAAACAGTTTGGTCTAGATGAGACTGTTTGGGTCCAGATGAGACTGTTTGGGTCAAGATGAGACTGTTTGGGTCCAGATGAAACAGTTTGGTCTAGAAGAAACAGTTTGGTCTAGATGAAACAGTTTGGTCTAGATGAAACAGTTTGGTCCAGATGAGACTGTTTGGGTCCAGATGAGTACAGTTTGGTCTAGATGAAACAGTTTGGTCCACATGAGACTGTTTGCGTCCAGATAAGACTGTTTGGGTCCAGATGAGACTGTTTGGTCCAGATGAGACTGTTTGGGTCCAGATGAAACAGTTTGGTCCAGATGAAACAGTTTGNAAACAGTTTGGTCCAGATGAAACCGTTTGGTCCAGATGAGACTGTTAGGGTCCAGGTGAAACAGTTTGGTCCAGATGAGACTGTTTGCATCCAGATGAAACTGTTTGCATCCAGATGAGACTGTTAGGGTCCAGATGAGACTGTTAGGGTCCAGGTGAAACCGTTTGGTCCAGGTGAGGACAGTTTTAACTCAGAGAATGGATTTTACTGGTCGGTCTACATTCCAGCCCTGTTATGGTCAGGAACCCCAAACGTTGTGACTTTTAGCTACTGTTTTGTTAAGTTTAGCTTTCCTGATTTTACCTGGTTCTGGGTGTTTGTACATCTGATTTTTCTGCTGCTGTCTGTTTTTCTCTCAGATATCCACGATGAGAACGGGCTGAAGCCGGTCATGGTTTACATCCATGGAGGCTCCTTCGTGGAGGGGACTGGGAACATGATTGACGGCAGCATCCTGGCCAGCTATGGCAACGTCATCGTCATCACCATCAACTACCGGCTGGGAGTCCTGGGTAAGCTCTGGTTTTTGTTTTTGTCAGGCTGAGGCGGTTTTGTTCAGAGTCACTTTACCTTTAGTTTTCCTGATGTTCCTTCTGTCTTTGTCTTCTGGATGAGAACCAGTTTGTACTGATTCATGAAAGGTGGGAGGTCCTGGACTGGTGTGTTTGAGTTCTTCCTGGTAGATGAGGGCATAGCTGCTAGCATTTAGCCAGTCTCTGATTGTTCYTCCATATTCACTCAGCTGAGGTCCAATCAGAGGCTTAGAGGGGGCGGAGCTTCGTGTGTTGCTGCTCAATGATTATGGAACCATCTGAACTTGGAGGGGTGTGGTGTTGCTGGACTTCTGTGTCCACAGTTTGTCCACATTGTTTGGACATCAGGGTGTCCAGAAGTGCACGTGGCACCAGGACAGTCCAGGACTTCAGAGCCAGCCAAGGGGTTTGGGTGGACCAGGCGAGCCCTGACTGTTGCTGAGGTAAAACCTGGGATGTGGGAGGAGCTTAGTGGCACAGACCCTCCTGATTGGCTCTAAGAAGGTCCTGTCGAACTGTATAAAGTCTAAATGTGTCGTCTTGCAGCAGATTAAGGTGTTGATCCACCTGAGCTCCACCTTGGCGCTCCGGTTCAGTCATGTGTATAAAAACATGAAGCGTGTTTGTTTCTGAGTGATGAGCTGCAGGTTTACTGACGTGTCAGAGCAGCCTCTGCAGAGCTCTGCTCACCGTGAGCTCGCTGTTTGGTTTGAAGGCCGAGCTGTCTGCACCAGCTCTATATTTAGTTGCCTCAGAGCCAGGGGGGAAATAGGTGCTCTGCTAAAGTGTGCAATGCAGAGAGAAGAAAAAAACCTGTCAGAGAGAGGAAGCCTGCAGAAAGAAACCAACAGAGTGGAAACAGAGGATTTCACAGCTTTCCTTCAGCTTGTTGCAGTTTGACTTTCTGATATTTTATTTGTTTATATCAAAACATTTGACCAAAAATAATCCAAATGATTTTTACAATATATAAAAATATTCCCTCTAACAATACATTGAGATCTATATCTTTAAAGTCATACTTGCTCTGTTTTTATCTTATATTTAGCTTTTAGCCACTGTTCTGCTCCTTGCTGAATATGTATTGTTGTTTTACGTCAACATAAATAAATCAGTATTAGCTCAAACCTACATTCAATTTGGCCTCATTTACCAGGTTAGCAAAACAGTTCTTTAGGCAAGTAYACAAATATTACAGAGCCAACTACTAATACAACAATTTATAACAATACASAGCCTATCTGCAGGTAACCAGTTACTCCCCTTCAAAATAAAAGCACTGAAAGCCTGGTGTCAAAATAAAAGCAGGGATCTGAGGGTTGGCATGTAGCTGGATGGGGATAGATAATGAGTCCAAACCAGAACCAGAAGTCAGATTGTTCAAAACGTTCTTTACAGGTAAAAATATATAAATTATATTTAATAAATTTATTTATTATTACTAATATTTCACAATCATTTTATTCTTCTGAAGAATTTATTTAAAACAGATCTATTACTAAGCTAAAACCAACCAAACATACAGTAAGCTAAAAGCTAACATCAATAAACAGAGCTAAWAGGCAATARCAAAATACTAGCTAAAAGCTAAATTCAGAAAAACAGTAGCTCAAAGCTAGTATCAATAATGCAGTAGTTTTAAGCTGATTTTAACTAAACAATAGCTTAAAGCTARAACAAATAAAATAACACAGAAAACCCAGTATCAACAAAACAGTAGCTAAAAGCTAAAATCTACAGGAGGGGCTTTTATTGTGTGGTGTATGGTGGTCCGTGCAGCAGCTGAAGGCGGGGGTCTTGATGCTCTGACCCTGGCTAACTGAAGCTGACTCCAGGAACAAGACTTTATATTTCCTCTCCAACAYGAACAGCACTGAGTTTGGTGAAAGGTCCAAACTCTCAAACTCTCTCAAAATGTGTCTGTTTAGTTCTGATAATCCAAACRAACATCTTTAGCTGCTGCTGGGGACGAACCGTTGCTAAGTGAAGCTGAAGCTAAGTGTTCGGCAGGTAGCTCTGTGCGCAGCTGGAGGAGGTCTTAGACATGAAGTCAGTGTTTGGACCATTAAAAACTACAATTCAGTGCAAATATAAAACTTAAAGATACAAAAATCATGTGAAATATAGTGGAGGGGTGTGGCTGAAGCAAAGGACACCATGAGGGTGATCACACATGTAGCACTGTATGTCAGGTACCTGTTAGCCAAAGGTACAGATGACTCCACCCCTCCTTCTCATCATWGTTCTGGTCAAGTCAAAAACCTTGTTTCTTTGGCTCTTTTTTATTCCTGCAGTCTTTTGGCTGTTGGTGTCATGTCAGCTAACATCAGCTGATGCTCTGACTCACAGCTGCAGTGGAGATCTGTGGCTGACTGTTGTCATGAGATGACATGTTTGTCTCTCTGGCTCCTTCCATGTTCATCAGTCCATGACTGGAAGGAGGAACATCTGACGCAACAATGACCTCCTGCAGCCAAACCTGTCCTTGGACAGACACAGGACGAATCACTCAAAGATTTTACAAATAAAAACATGTAAATGTTCTTTACAGACTAATAACTATACCTGTAAATATGTTATTAACAAACTAATACTATACCTGTAAATATGTTCTTTACAGACTAATAACTATACCTGTAAATATGTTCTTTACAGACTAATAACTATACCTGTAAATATGTTATTAACAAACTAATACTATAACTGTAAATATGTTATTAACAAACTAATACTATACCTGTAAATATGTTATTAACAAACTAATACTATACCTGTAAATATGTTATTAACAAACTAATACTATACCTGTAAATATG